CTCATTTGGCACACACCATAGTAAGGCTTTTCACAATGGCTTCTGTTTGAGGGAGAGTCGTTGGATGTCCGAGAGAATATCTCAAGACTGTTGGTGATTTAAAATGATATAAGCCTCAGATTTTAAAAAGTCTCTTGCTCAAGATGTCCTGTTCTAGTTAGTAATAATGGTTACCTAAAACTGACTTCCAGCATGCTGTGGTTGTACTTACCACCTCTTCTAGTCTAATAATATGATTGTTAAGAAGGTTTACTACGAACCATTATCCAAAGCAGCCATCTGCTAGCTACATAATTAATTATGTGCATAAATAAAATCAGCTAGTCAGCAAAAGCCTTTGGTTTAAAGTGGTGGGAGAACTGATGGCTATAAAAGGTAAAATTTAAAAATATATCTTTCTTATTCAGGGAAGGACATGAGGGTGTTGACTCTGTGGTATCAGGTGGCTGTGCCGCTGTTTCTCTTTAACTTTCTGCCTTATGGGAAATAGGAAGTACTAAGCTGATTGTCAAGATAATGGTAAAATCTTTTCCAGGTAATTAGGAATGCTAGAAAAATCAAACAAAATGAACTTTCAAAATTCCAGCTCTGCTTATTCACTCAGTATCCTGCTGGCTAGGTTTTGTGAGGGGTGGGAAATTGGGGTATATATATGTATATATGTATAAGCCTTCCACTGTCTCTTTCCTGCTTTAGGATAAAGACAGAAGATGATAAAGAGAGCTAAAGGAGGCTTCATATTCAGGATGCTGACTTCTGGGTAAGAAGCAACCTGGGTAAAAGCAGAAATTACTCAATGACAACATGAGGTTCCCTTAACACTTCCTTTGGGAATATCACAGTCTTGGTCCTCAAGTTAAAGCCTCTACATCAGACAGCTGAGAATAATCGGTATTAACACTTCCAAAGGAGTTTCTGCCTTTAGATGTTTTCCTGTGCCAGTTAAGCTTCCAGGCCTCTTTGCTTGTGCATGTAGGGGCAAGACATTGACCCTTCTTTCTCATTTCATTTTCATGAATGTAATGTATGAGAGAGAGCACTGTGATCATCTATGCAAGTCTCATTCCAAACTTTTATCCAAAATGCAATTCTACCTGGAACTGAAATCATCCTACTTTTCATCTCACATCTAATTGACTATAATAATCATATAATCTACTAAACCACTCTCAGAGAGTTTATACTGCATTAAAGGTTTAGAGTACCCCAGCTTATCTGAAGCCCTCTTAATCAATGGAGACAATTATATTCATTCTCTTGAATTTTCCTAACAGTTTCACACTCACAGAATCCTCTCAAGGTCTGCATGGATGTTTCTCCATTGTCCCTTTCCTTCCTAGCTGGGTCATAGGCCATATGTGGTTCTAAGACTTCTTTTCCCCCATTACTTCCCCACAGAGGACTGAGAGGCTGCAGGTCATTCTTGCCTACTCCTCTTCTTGTGGTATAATCACTGGCAACTACTTTGCTGGTTCCTTTCCTTGTTTTAACAGCCAAGAATCCTCTAGCTTCTAAGGTTTGACCAGAGTAAGTGTTGTTAGTCTAGTGCCCTTGGGTGAAACACAATGAAGGTGCATCCGTGTCCTGAGGGAGAAGCAATAAAGTGTTCTGGGGCCAAACAATCCCCGAAACAGGGCAGAACACTGGGCAAAGTTCCTCATAATCCAAGATTTCAGAGAAGTACCATTAGATATATGCAATAAAGCTGATACATAACACAAAAACTAAATTAAATCAGTACAATAAGAATAGAGAGATCAAAGGAACAGAAAAATTCCAAAACAGATCTCAGATACAATAGAGAAAACATCATAAATCATAGATGAAGGGGAGATAAGGCTGAGACGCTTGAGCTTTGGAAAACATACAACTTAGATACCCAGTAAGTAGAAATTACACATGGATTTGAGTTATTTAGTCAGTAAATATATACTTACCTAATCTCAGGAAGGGAGTTATATAAAATAAAAGAGATGAAAATAATAAAAAAGGAAAGTTTGAAAATTTTGAACTACCCAGAATTTAAAACTTTGCAACATTAAACAGTAAATAAAAATCAAAAGTTGAACAAAATCTGAACAAATTTTTAAAATACTTTGCAAATACAACAAAAGCTCACTGTTATAAATAAGAAAAACACTAAGCCTTCACTGATAAATGAACAAAGGTAATAGATGGACAGCGTATAAAGAAGGATTGGAAATGGATAGTGAACGTTTGGAAAAAATGTTCAACTGCATTAATAAAGAAAAATACAAAATAGGTAAAAATGTGATGCTACTATATTTTAATCCACCAAATAAGAAAAAAGATTACACTCAATATTTGCAAGAGCTTAATAATATGAGCACCCTCATGCAGTGCTGGGGAGAATGACAATTGTAAAGCCTTTCTGAAAATAACTTGGCAATGTATTTCCATGTCTAATAATTTATCATAAGCAATAAAAAAATAAGACCTATATTTATGTACAAAAAATGTTCAATACAACATTATTTATAATAACAAAAATTGAAAACAACTTGAAGCTGGCTTGGCGGTGTAGTGATTGCATTCACACACTCTGCTTCAGTGGCTCAGGGTTTGCCAGTTCAGATCTTAGGTGTAGACATATGTAGCATTTATTGAGCCATGCTGAGGCAGGCATCCCATATATAAAGTAGAGGAAGATGGGCTTGGATGTCCACTCAGGGCCAATTTTCCTCAACAGAAAGAAGAGGATTGGTGGCAGACGTTAGCTCAGAGCTAATCTTCCTCAAAAAAAAAAAAAAAAATTGAAAAGAACTTGAAAGTTTAACATTAGAAGATGATTAATTATGATACATCTGTCAATGGAATAGTATATAACCAATAAAATTATGTTTAAAAGACTTAAATGAAATGCTTATGTTATAATGGTCATGTAGAAAAATCACAAAATTGCTTGTAAAATAAGATTTCAATTCTCTTTTTACAGAACCATTTTTAAAAGTTAAAAGGAAGTAAGCCAATATGTTACTGGTCATCTCTGGGTAGTATAATTTTGGGTAATTTATTGTTTCAGATTCTTTATCCTGATTAGTACTTTCCACATTTTTCTTTTAAAGAAGCCAGAACACAGCCACACTCCAAATAAGGAAAAAATTTGCTACTCTTTTTTAAGATCAAGAATAATATAACTGAGCAAAAGCAAGTAACATACAAATAAATTTCAGTTTAGTTCGGTTTTAGAAGTGTGCTTTAATAGTGAAAGTTGGATAAAATATTTCAAGCATACAATGTAAAAGATACACATCAAATACATTAGAGTTACTGACTATGTGGAGATGGGAGAAAGGAATAGGGATAAAAGAGCATGAAAGAGATACACAAACAAACTCTTCTAACAAAAGCATGAAATGACTTCCTTCAATCGTTAACCAGTATGTCCCAGGCTTGACTGAGGTCAGCTAAATTGTAATTTTAAGATTGTGTGTATGTTTAGGTTTCATTGTTTACTTTTGAAAGGTTAATATCTACTTTTTAGAGTTAATCCTGTAAACTTTACATAATGAGGCAAAAGACAATGCTATACTCTGTTTACAGCATGAAAGAGTTCCAGACAGGTTTCTGCCAGGAAATTTTCCCCTCCCTCCTTCTCATTGTCAGCCTTGAACCACAGTGGTCTGCTTAAGGAACTCAGTGATGAAGAGGCTCCCCAAAAGAAGAGCCAAAAACTTGTCTAAAATACTGTGTCATTAATTCCATAGAGATTTATCAAAGGATTTTAAAGCTCTACCAACACTAAATTTGCATAATGGTCTTTCCAGTTAAACTTGAAGGGCACATCTACCTATGGGAATTATTTCAGAATATCTTAGATTAATTAGGTCTGTATAGGTAGAGTAGAAACAGAAATGAAGAAAAGCAAGCAGCACTTCACTTTAAGAGAAACAGTTGTCTTTTCTTTCTTTCTTCCTACCTATAGTGCTTCACAAATGGCCCATATTTGCACAAGAATTAATAGTGTCCATCTTTCAAGTTGCAGAAGACTCCTTCTAACAATTTTGTTTGGCATTCACAAATTTAAAGTTACTTATTTGATGGTAGGACAAATACATAATCATTAAAACAAACTTGGAAATAGTTTAAAATTCATTAGACCTAAAAAAAATTATATATGTGCTCCAGAATTTACAATTCTCTTTTATCTTTATTAATAACACTTTTTCCTCCCTAAACCATCACAACTCACCAGGAAAGATTCTGAGAAAACAGTCTCAGAAAAACCATGCTACGAAGAATTACTAAGAGAAATAGGACATTTTTACCATCATTCAATCCATTTCCGGATTCTCATTCATTCCACACTTCATTTGGATTCTGGGTCTTGGTGCTAATCTTCATAGTCTTTTCCAAAAACGTGTTTGACTATGTAAACTAAGAGTCTAAATTAGTCAATATTGAGGTTCAGGGTTTGGTAGGAATTTGTGTTATATACAAATTAGGAAAGTAGTTAATGATGTTTGACATTAAAACAATACAAAACAAAAGTTTAAACATAAAGCAACGAGCTATTTAGAAATAGAATACTGCTTTATGGTAGGTGTTAAATTTGTCCAGAATAATTTATGCCATGTAAAAAGTAAAGAATGTTGCTTTTATTCTTTTGTTTCTGGGATAATGTGATGTGGTTCATTTACTGTATTTATTGAAAATACTAGTTTAAGAGATGGTCTTAGCCACTGGTTTTGATACCACATGCTATTTTACTCTTATTTTCTCTATGAAAAAAATATTGCTGGGACTTAACATACATGTCCTTTCTTCCTTTGTACATTTAGCTTCAGCACATCTCTTCTACGTGTAATCCCTTCTGAGTCAATCAGGAACTAAGAAAATATGTTTTTTAATCCTTTAGCTTCTGCATGTCGTCTACAGGATAGAGTCCAAATTCTTTCATTCTGCCTTCTAAGGTCGTGTACTAGGCTTTACTTTCCTACCTATCTTTTCACTCATATAAAAAAGCCTCATTCACTCACCTGTCCATTCTGCTCTCATTCAGATAGGATCATCCTTTAATAGGAGGTGGAGGGCACAGTTCAAGTGTAAGCTGATGGAATGAATGGCAGGAATAAAACAGAACGGACACACAAAGCTCATTTTGAAGGTAGAAACCACTTAACTTTCTTTCCTGAGAATTCCTAAGTTATAGAGACAAAGAATATGGAGGAAGAAGAGAAAGAAAACTGAAAAATGATAATAACTGTCTAGAACTATTATTTGAATGCTTTAGTTATATGTATATTCTAATCTCCTTAGAGTGAGAACATTTTTATATCTTTTCTTTATATACCCACATGTTTTCCACGGTGGTAGGCAGCCAGTAGGCATTCAGGAAATACTTGTTGAATGAATAAACAACATCAATTTTTCCTTGACTGCCACTTTATTACTATCTACCTTTGTTTAAAAAATGTCTATGAATGTTCATTTCTATAATAAAACATTTTATTTATGACAACTTGAATGGCAAAAATTGAGAGGTTTGACAATATCAAGTATTGGAGAGGATAAGGGCCAATTGTAACATTTATATAACATGAGGAAAACGGTGAATTGGAAGAACCACTTTGGAAAAGAGTTTGGCCTTACTTTGTAAAGGCAGAACGTGCACTAGAATTTCCACTCCCAGAGAAATTCTTGTAGATACACTGGAGAAACTCTTGCGCATGTGTTCCAAAAGGTTCACAGTAGAAACGTTTGTACTAATAAAATAGAATTAGAAAAAGAAAATAAATAAATTGTGATGTGTTCACATACAGAATAAAACTGTGCAGATGAGTTAGCTACAATTTTCGGCAGCATAGATGCCTCTTACATACGCAATTAAGTGAAAAAAGCAAGAATCAGAAGGTAACATACAGTATGACACAAATTTCATAGCTCAAAACAAGCAAAAAAAATACTATATTGTTTAGGCATACATATATATATGTTTTTTTTTTTTTATTTAAGGCAAGAGAATAATAAATTTCCATTGATTCTCAGGGTATGGGGGTGAGTCAAGAGGATAAGATAGGAAGTGAGTACCCAATTTAAATGTAAAACACTCCTAATATTTTTTAATTCAATGACGGGTTCCTTGATGTACATTATATAACTATACTTTAGAACTTACATGTATGTTACTTATATTCTTGTTAGGTAGCAGGTACTTTTTTTTTTTTAGGAAGATTAGTCCTGAGCTAACATCTGCTGCCAATCCTCCTCTTTTTCCTGAGGAAGACTGGCCCTGAGCTAACATCCATGCCCATCTTCCCCTACTTTATATGTGGGACACCTGCCACAGCATGGCTTGACAAGCGGCGCGTAGGTCCACACCTGGGATCTGAACCAGTGGACTCAGGGCTGCTGAAGCACAACGTGCGAACTTAACCGCTGTGCCACCAGGCCAGCCTCAGCAGGTAACATTTTTTAACTGATAATAAACAAAAAATGTTCAAACCATGGCAGCCTGAAAATAATTTCTTTTTTCTTTTTTTCTTTAAGATTTTATTTTTTTCCCTTTTTCTCCCCAAAGCCCCCTGGTACATAGTTGTATATCCTTTGTTGTGGGTCCTTCTAGTTGTGGCACGTGGGAAGCTGCCTCAGTGTGGTTTGATGAGCAGTGCCACATCCGCACCCAGGATTCGAACCAAGGAAACACTGGGCCGCCTGCAGCGGAGCGCACAAACTTAACCACTTGGCCGCGGGGCCAGCCCCTAGAATTTGTTTTTAGAAAAAAAAATTGGGCGTAGTTATATATGAAAGTGATTTGTAGGTCCTACCCTAGAGAGATGGCAATGTAGTAACAACTAATAGCAACATACGACAATGGGAGATTCAGGATTATAATGAATTTACTGGATTCATTACTTGTTTGTACTTCATTAACTTTTTTGCCCCATCAAAGTACTCTGAACAGTAAACTTAGTTTGTCCAACATAAGGGAAGAATTAGACAGAAAATCTTTTGTTTCACATTGTCCAGAACAATCTTTTTGTTTAACCAAAACACTAGCTTTGTCCTCAAATTTACCAGGGATAAGTAAGAGGGGAAAAGGTTTGACAAACATCAATTCAAGTGTTTTTGTTTAGTTTTTCTATGTATCTTTGCAGCAATTTTGTCACAAGGAAGTTTTCCTGAACGTTACATTGTCTGATTGTGATACAAAACCTTTACTCTCTGATTAAAGTACTAAGGTCATTAGAAATTGCAATGTACCTGGAAAATCTTGAGGCTGTTATTTCCCATTTAATTTCAAAAGCTTTTGTCACTATTCCCTCCCCTCCTTGGTTATCCTAGCAAACTATTATCATAACAGCCAGTCTTTCTGTCTGAACCCATGTCTCCCTCAGGAAATCATTCTATTCTAGGAGTCATGTTTGCATTGTCATGTCACATCAAAGTAAAGCTTGTCCTTGAATAATAACACAACACTTCTAATGGCAGTGATGTTTACATCTATGAATTTTAAATATCCACTTTTCTGTTACAAGAGTAAGTTTTGTGTCCCCACGTTTTGGGAGATATGTCTTAAATTTTTCTATTCCTAAAAGTAAGAGATATGCATGAGTGATTGAATAAAATGTTTACCGTTAATACAAAGCTATTGTAATTACTAGGAATTAAAGGAAACCCAGAGAAAATTCTGCTTCATTAGCATCTCTAAATTCTTTATTTGTTCACTGTAGCAGAGAAATCAATGAGAGGATTGCATAGAAGTTTAGCAACTAGAGTTGACTAGAAATTTCTGAATTTCCTAAATGTCTTGAAGAGTCCTGTTCCTTCCACTTCTTTATGCCCTGTTCCCTTCATCTTCTCTCACTCTGGCTCATTCAAATTTACAGAAGCAAACTGAAGAGACATTAGCTCCATAAAAGTTAACAAATGCCACGGCAGTAAATATTTCCTGAATACTATAGTAGATTAAAAACAACAATCTACAACCCATGCCCTAATGGGCTTGAGAATCATAAGTCTTTCTAAGGAATCCTTCCATGCCATGAAGACTCTTGTACCCAGCATCTCTGGCCAATGGTCATTTATCCTCCAGTGATAGGAGAGCATCGCCACTAAGGAAGGCCCACTCCATCAGCGGACAGCCATGTTGGTTAGAAAATTCTTATGTAACACTACGGTTTATGGCTTTGTAGTTTTCCTACACTTGCTCTTTACTAGTCGACTATAATAACAAGCCCATTCTCATGTTTACATAAGAATTTCAAAATAATACCTATTCAAAATATTCACTTTTCTTGCTTGTTCCACTGTAACATTCCCCATAGGACACAGTTTTCAGTTTTTCTTCAACAGAGTTTCCATTTTTTTTTCTCCTGCATAGCATTTCGTCAATATAACTCTAAGAACATGGTACCCAGAAGCAGATGTAATATTTTGGGTGTGACTCATCTTGTACTATCAATTCTAGACTTCTATTACTGCAACCAGACATAATGCTAGCTTTTATATTCACTAATTATTCATTTAGCCAACATTTACCAAGTGTCTGCTAAGAGCTAGGTTTTAGACTAGGCCTTGGGGATTCAAAATTGAGTAGTCCGTGCCCTCACACAGCTACATTACACTATTAGCTCATGGGAAGCATATGATCAGTTAACACCCCAGCTCTTCTTCGTTTGTGTCTCTGCAAGCAGATCACCACCTCTGTCTACTGATATATACAGAAATTTACCTCCAACAGTGATGATGTTCACTGTGACTTTAATCACAGCATTCCCTTTAAGAATGACAATTTTTAATTCTGGTTCCCTATACTGTGTACTATACTTATTACCCCTTTAAACCTTTAAACCAAAGATTAGAGAAAAACACTGCTCTTTCATCTTCTTAAATGGCTTTTACAAAAATAAATAGCATAGATTCAAGGACAGACACCTGCTATGTGTAAATCATCTTGCAGCACACCTTAGGTACAATGTTTTTAACCAGATCAGAATTTATCACTTCTATCATTCACCCCACATTTTATCAGTTGATTCACAAATGAAAATTACACCAAGTGTATCAAATGCTTTACTCAAGTTATGTTGTGTGTGTATTTTCCTGATTTACCCTATTCACAACTCCATTACAGAAGGATATAAAATTTGTTATGCCTTGTTCTCAATGAACACGTTTTGAAGCCTTGTAATGTCACAATTCTCCAAAGTGCTCACAATTTTTTTAGTACTGCATTCTACACTTTTGCTAGAGATTGAGATTATGTTTTCAGGTCTGTTGTCCTCAAGACTTCTCTTTTCATCTTCTGGAAAGTTGAACAATTAGCTGTCTACAGTTTTCTGTCACTTTTCATCTTCCACTCCTCCCCACCTCCCCACTCCCAACAGGAAAGTCTGATTCTCATAGAAGCAGGGAGTCAGTAATGCCAAATTAAGACGTGGACTTAGGTGAGAGTGCAAATGGCGGAGAGGAGGATACCTCCACATCCTGTACAGCAGTGATTTTCAAACTTCTTTCAGTTCCCATACAATTTCTTCAAGTGAAAACTTAGTGGTAGCCGGTAACTGAAGCAGAACCTTTCTAGAACCTTACTTCTCACTCTTTAATATGCATATGAATCTTACCTGAGGATCATATTAAACTGCAGATCCCAAATCAGTAGATCTGTGGTGGGGCTCAAGAGTCTACTTTCTAACAAGCTCCAGGTGATGCCCATTTCTGACCCAGGGACCAGACTTTGTACAGCAGGACCCTGAGCGATCTTCACAGTTTCCTAGGATTCTCCAAAGAGCCATATTTCCTATGGTTCTAGCATTTTGACTTGTTTTCTCATAACTCCCTATCATCTCCCTCTAGGGGAGGCACAAAGATGTCTCTGTCCTAATCCCTGAACCTGTGAATATGTTAGGTTACATGGCAAGGGGGAATTAAGTTTGTAGATGGAATTAAAGTTTTCAATCAGCTGATCTTAAAATAGGAGATTATCCGGGTGGACCCAATGTAATCACAAAGGTTCTTAAAAATGGAAGAGTGAATCAAGTCATAGAAAGATGTGACTCTCGAAGAATTGTCGTTGAGATACAATATTGCTGGTTTTGAAGATAGAGGATGGGGCCTAGGAGCCAAGGAATGTGAGCAATCTCTGAAGCTAAAAAAGGCAAGGAAACACATTTTGCCCCAGAGCGTCCAAAAAGGAATATAGCCCCTGCTAACATTTTGATTTTAACCCAGCGACTTGTGTCATATTTCTACCCTACAGAACTGTAAGATAAATCTGTGTTGTTTTAAGCCCTGAAATTTGTTACATTAGTAATAGAAAACTAATATACCCTCCTCATTGCGTCTTTCACTGGATAACTAAAGAGCCAACTCTAATGGTCTATATAATATCGTGACTTTCTCTTAAAGAAATAGAAAGTCTTTGGGTGAAGATTTTTCCCGGAACTGCTACTTCATTTTCAAGTTTTGAGTTGTGTAGACACTGCAAGGGGTCTCTTTATGTGGAAGTCCATGATTCCTGCATATGAAAATACAGTGTACTTTAAATTACTAACTCAGCATCTGGATTTTAAAAACCCACTCAATTGTTTTGCTGATTTTAGAACAAGATATACTACTCAAACTAATTGCCTAGAGCCTGACTTTAAATGTGACATTTTGTTGTTTTTTAGTGGTCAAAAATCTGTCACCATTACTGCTTTAAAAATAAAAATTGAAAACCCATAAAATGATTTTTGATGGTATTCTTCTTCCTCATGGTATT